GGGAGACCATTAAGGGTCAATCAGATGATACTTTTAAGGTCGCCATCGTATATGGTATAAATGAGACCATGATATAAATTAAAACATGGTTATCTCGTAATTACGACATACTTAAAATTACGAGATAATTGTAATGTTGTCGTGCGCTTTAGATCAAAAGCTTTGACATTGAGTCGGGTTGCGTGGTTTCGGTCCCAAGCTAGTACGTGATAAGTATGGGGTGCTCTCATCCAGCTCAAAATATTGATTAAGGGGATTAAGGGTTTAGGGCTGGGGGATTATAGTATGTAGCTGAAATGTGTTCACCTAAACTGTGTTTAATAAGTGACTGAAATAAGAATTGTACAGCTCAGTGCTAACGGCATTTCCAGGCCAAAAAAGGAAGCCTACCGTGAACTAGAAGAGAGACTTCAAGCATTGAAAGATCAGTTCCGAAATGGTCAAAGAGACATCATGCTTTATGTAGATGCGGTTTCTCATCTTGTCCATTTAGAGTAAAAAGTATGAAATGTTTACTTGCCCATATGAAATATATATTTTTAATGTTGATGCTCATTTCATAGTGCTATTTAGTTATTTATTTTTTATATTAAGTTTTTCCATTTACATTAAAAGTGTTAAAATAAACATGTTTTACTATAATAAATGCTGAATAAAACATTATCAAGTGATTTTGTTTTACTATTAGGTTTAACCTAATGAAATAAACAGTGCCCAATGTGAAACAGACTACAGCTAATCCTTCTTTAGAAATTCCAATTAACACCTTAGTCACGCTAACATGATTATTTAAGTTTTGAGCTGGGTGAGAATGAACCATAAGTATGTCGTAATTACGAGATAGACAATTCGTAATTACGAGACAATCAGATTTTATTTCCATTTGATCGAACCAAGATAATTGTAAGATCGGCATGCGCTTTAGATCATAAGATCATAGGGTCTGTCATTCAGTCAAGTGTCGTGGTTTCGATCCCAGGCATATACGTGACAGCTAACTCATAATCAGAATTTTACTTTTGAAGAGTAATTGATGTGTATCAGTTTCTTTGAAAAATACTTTAATTTCCAGTTGGCCAGTGTTATTGCTGTTGCTACGTTTGAAAAAGGTGGTGTCAAGAAAATCTATGCTGTTATGATTTACATTTGCGGTTAATTTGACAGATGGGTGATGATTGTTCAGAATGTTGAAAAACGTCCAAAATTCGTCTAGTGTGTACGTCCAGACTATGAACATGTCATCTAAAAACGTCCATAGAAATCTGGTTTTAATAGGCAGAGTGGCAAAAATTCCCATTCCTACTCTGCCTTGAAAAGATTTGCAGTTTCGGAAGACTGGAGGTCTACTTGGTCGCTGAATGTGAAGTCATTCCTCCTCAGACAGATGTCGAGTAATTTGAGGATTTCTTCGGCCGGTCTGAAATGCTTTCCTAACTGCTTCAATACCTGTGTTATTATCAATGTTCGTGTACATGCTCTGTACATCAATGGATATTAAAATGGTGTGCTCAGGGACTCTTAACTGTTTGATTTTGTGAATAAAATCGCTGGTGTCTTTAAGGTAGGATGGGTGTTTGCATGCTAGAGGTAATAAGAAATGGTCTATATATTGTGATACGTTGTATGATTCTCTGCCACAGTCTGATATTATTAGGCGTCCCTTGAGTAATTTATTAGGTATAAACCATTTCGTTTCTAGATTTTTATGTATTTTTGGTAGCGTATAGAGATGTCGTTGTCAGCAGTCAGATTTAGCGGATAGATAATCATATTGTTTTGCTGTTATATGTATTCCTTGTCTTGCAATTGATGTAAGATGTTGTTTATTAAGGTTGCGGTGCCCTTAAAGATGGGTTGATCTAATTTAGTGTAACGTTTAGGATGACTTAATTGGATTTGGAACAAACTTGAGGCCTTTGTCAAATATGCTAAGTCCTAGGGGGGCTGAGAATTTTGTCGCTCGAATTGACAACTGTCTGTTCTAAAGACGGCTTCTCATTCCTTTACCCTGATTCTCGTTTAAATTCCCCCATCCAGCAGTTGATGATCTCCCTCGCCGTGTCTGGGCGTGAGTGTGTGGGGGGGGGGGGGGTCCTATTGGTCCAAAAATTATTAAAAATTATTAATCTTATCTAATGGTTATTTAATAAATCGATGACTTTCAATTGATTTATACCACAATTATTTCTGTTTTAGTTGTAAGTGTAGGAGAATCGCGCTACATACAAACACAGCCCATACAAGACAAACCTACACAATAACGGTGTGAACGTCAGGTGTTGACGAATAACTCGTTCCTCTCTATGAATATTAAGGTCAAGGTAAAAATTAATGTTTACGTCCTTAGTCACAGTTTCTATAAATAACGTGGTCATAAATTGGGCAATACATTTGGCTTCATACATGTATGTGGCCTAGAATATAGCTAGTTACGCAGGTAGCGTGTCTCTGATGTTCAGATTGATAATGATGGGTGTAAAATAAATCCCAATTGTATTTTAAAGAAGGGTTCACACAATCCGTCCCGAAATTTGGAGCCCTGTCGAATATTTCATAATAGTGTGTATACATTTCGCAATAAATCTATTATATGAATCAGGTCGAAAACATATCTTTAAATATTTTATTAACCGATTGAGAACCGGTTTCAGACGGAGACATTTGTCTCTCTGAAATTAATTATATGTCTTTAAACCCCGCCCGTCCTAAAATAAGAATATTTCATAATATTGTGTATACATTTCGAAGTAAGTCTATTATTGTGAATCCGGTCAAAAACATTTATTTGCATATTTATTGACCGAATAAGAAGCGGTATCAGACGAGCTATTTGGACACAGATCACCAAATATTCCTACGCCGTCACCCACAAAACAAGGGCCAAAGCTATTTTTAGTCTTCCTCTCCCTTTTCCTTTTTCCCCCTTTTGCATGGCGATTTTTGTTGACTTTTTGGTGTAGAATCGAGGAACAAGGGCCAAAGCTATTTTTAGTCTTCCTCTCCCTTTTCCTTTTTCCCCCTTTTGCATGGCGATTTTTGTTGACATTTTGGTGTAGAATCGAGGAAAAGGGTTTGAAAATACATTTTCTGCCAGGTTTTGGTGAATATTCATAATTTTGATGCGGAAGGATACAAGAGTTGAGAGGTTGGTTAGGTTGAAATGTAGGGCCTGAAATTGCATGTTTATTTGTCTCTACTTCCAGCTTGTGTATATCAAGTTTTTCATGAAGAACCTCATACGTGCTTTTGGGCAAGTGGTTGCCACATGTTGCTCCATCTGTGGTAGAAAGCGTTCTACCCAACGAAAATTTGGGAAAAAGTTAGAGCCGGTCTAAGATACGAGAATTAACATTGGAGTCAATGGGGAAATCTTTAGTGATCTGTGTCCATTTGTCCCACTGAATGTGGTTTCTCCCTTATAGAGTCATGCGCGCAAGGTCTCGAACTTGTTATTCTCTCCGGTTGTACGTGACAAGAAGTATAGGGTCGGCTGTCCAACAGGCCCGTAGCCAGCGGGGGGCAAGGTGGGGTGGGCAATGCCCCCCTGAAAAAAAACGTTTTGCCCCCCCCCCCCCGAACACAACTTTGCCGACCATAGCTCTAAAATACCTACTGTAGACTGTGCTTTGTGTGCCCCCCCCCCCTTAAAACTTAACTGCCCCTCCGAAGCCAGCAAGCTGGCTAGGGGCCTGCTGTCCAACCTCGTGTGTTTTCCCGGGTCCTGCGGTTTTCTCCCACTGCTAAAGACCTCTACGCGCAAGCGAATTATTGAAATAAAATTGAACCATATGTTAGTCCCGAAATGACCTAGTTTGTTTCGAGTGGACGTTAAACCTCATTCCTCTCTCTTTCTCGCTGGTTATTCGCTCCCCTGATCTTAATCTTTATGATCACAAAGAGATCAACATGTCACAATCATCCGAAATAAAAATATTGACGCAGAACGACCATTTAGATTTTTTGCTAGACCTGGTCAAAGCTATAGGCTGTGATCGATTTTTTTCTAGCCTGGATCAAAGGAATCTATCTATAGGTGAATTCCGTAATTATTGTCTCATTTACCTCCTGATCCTTCCACCTGAAAATCATGAATATTCATCATAACCTGACAGAAAATTAAATTTAAACACTCTTCTTTGAGAAAAAATGCCATGCGAAAGCGGAAAAATATGGAAAAGCATTTGCTCTCAATAGACAAGACATTGTGGGTTGTATTAACTTATCTTAGGGACCACACTGGTATTTGGACTCTTTACAGACTTTTGTGTTATCTTTACATTTTTATACAAAGCATACAAATTTCGAAGCATAGGGTTAGTAAACACGACACATTCCGATGGCAATGATAGTAATGTCACCAACAAGTCATTCGTTTTAATCGAAAAGTGTTGTAAACTGTTCTGATTTGGAGAGGAGACTGAACATTGATAGTCAATTACTACAGTCCAACTTAAATAGTAATATCGCTTGGCATAATCATTTAAGACGCATGAGTTTAAAGTCCAGTTTCAGTAAGAAATCACTAGATAATTTTGAGCAAAGCAGAAGAACACAGAACGACCATCCAGCAAATATCGGAAGAAAACCTGAAATTTGTACACGGGACCTCGGATGTCCGTCTAATCCTAATCTTAATCCGTGGCACCTTCCAGAGACTCCTGGTTAGGTAGCCAGCACCTCACACCCCCCCCCCCCGCGACTCCCCATTGGTATTCGTACTGTCCCCACGGGTCAATGAAGACGGGCGTGTAAGATACTGAGTGCAGAGTGCTATGAGGGAAATTTTGCCAGGACTGCTATATGGTCTATTCTTAATTCGTATTTCAACCGCCCTTTTGCGTGCACGCCAACTTGTAGACAAGACACATTCGTAACGAACATGTTAATTGTTTTTATGCAGGTGAAATCTAATATAAACTACATCGTTTATAATATAAACTGTTACATAAAATATAATATAAACTGTTACATAAAATATAATATAAACTGTACATAAAATATAATATAAACTGTATTTTACAATAAAACATAATATAAACTGTATTTTTCACATAAAATGTATCTTTACATAAAATTTATACATAATACAAGTATTAATAGAGCTATATTTGTGGAAATGGTTGTAGTTTGGTTGATACCAAGCTTCATCAAGGTAATTTTATCATTAGGATTGCCACTACCTTCGGCAAACCAATAATGCATACACGGTTCTCTGTCCGGAACAACTTTATAGGAATTATCCCAGATAGTTTCACAGAAGTTTGTAGAATTTCCATATATTTCGGTGAACGGCTTGCACGTGGATTTAGTTGGACACACAAAGCCTGGAAAATGAACGGAGTAGAATTGATATGCTGAAATTGATCCGATGGTTCAATAGTCTGGAGGTTCAAAAAGCTCGACGGTTCAGTTGACCTGAATATGTCTAAAAGTTCAACAGCTAGGGGGTCAATTTGTCCGAAGTTTCAGTGGTTCTGTAACAATTGCTCTAAGAAAGCTATTAATTAGAAGTGTTAATTAGACCTTTCCCCCTCCAACCACTTTAATCAGTCCCATCCACCATAACACCCACCCTCACCCCCTGTGACCATTACACCCACTTTCACACTCGTTCACCATTACGCCAACCCTCAGCATCATCCACCATAGCATCCACCATCACGATACCCACTATCACGATTCCTGCTACGATTAAAATCCTGGTTTTAATCGTGGAGTACTGGTGGTGATCCTATCAGGTGTTATCATATATTGAGGTCAGTCGTAGCAATCGTGTTGATCATATAGAAACGTATCGGCGCGTACCAGATCGTGGACACAATATGGACAATCATGTTGTAACAGATCGCACGACAGTGAGAACCTAGCATAACCACTAGCTTTCATTACATCCACTCTAACCACTAGCAACCATTACATCCACTCTCACCCTCATCCACAATTACACCCCAAGCTGTCATTACATCCACTCTCAACCCTAGGTACCATTACCACCCACTCTCACTAGCGGCCACCATTACCACCCACTCCTACCATCATCCATCCACCATTACACCCACTCTCAGCTCCAGAAATCTTTACGCCCACTCTCACTCCCAACCAAAATAAAAATATGGACTATAACCATGAATTACTGAAAACAACTAACCACCATCTGTAAAATTCATATCTGCCTCCCAATTAGGGACACACGTTAAATCATCTTTACAGGCATTCCACCAGTTACTACAGTCCGTTTCACATATGGGCACGTCTCTGTATCTTTCATACCCAAATGATAAAGTCTCATCAATCTAAAAATATATGCACATAGTAATCAAATACAGAACATAAAAAGTGTGTACAGGCCTAAATAAGATAACATATCCTCATAGGCGTACGAGCTGGGCACCAAATGGCACCAAATGCTGGGAAAATTTGGGCACACAGTTGTATAAAAAAATATTGTGTTCTTAAATGTGTCCAATTTAACGGCGAATTTATTATTATTATGTAACATACTAAGAACCTAACTACATTTTTGGGGCACCAACCACCACCGCCCCCCAGTCAAAAATTTCCTCGTACGCCTATGCATATGTTTATTCTTTATATCGATTTACGAGCGGTACACATGTTTAGTTGTTTTAAAGGAGATTAACAAATGGAAAGAAATGAAAGGGGGTTTAACGTCCTCTCTTTCTGCACCGAATGGGCTAATGAAGACGGACATATGCCATGCAGTGTTCTATGGGGGAAATTTTGCCGGGACAACGGCGCTACGACCTACTCTATTTTCGAATTCCAATTGTCAAAGGTTCTTTAACGTGAACGCCAATGTGTACGCGGGGCGTCGGATTTTATCTTCACCATTGACAAGGGAGGACCGAGGGGAAACCAAGTCGGAAACCCTGGGAATTTTCTAGGTCAACACCGGAAGTGAATGCGTTGACTAGAAATCGTATAGGCATCATTGTGACGGAAGTAAGCAGTCTCAGAAGAAGTAATTCTGTTACATATTTCGCCGACATTTTGATTGCCACATATATGTTAACAGGATATAAGAATTAAAAACTTACCAATTTTAACCATGGTCCAAGATTTGGCGAGCACTGATAAAAGCACGCTTCTCGATGGAACTGCTCGAGACATTTAGCTGACATGTTTCCACAATGATTCCACTCCAGACTTAACCAGACGTCAGATGTGTGAATAGCCTCTGAAGTATTCCTGGCACAACACGATCTGTCTTTCCATGGTTTACACTGAAATTAAATTAAAATGATTAAGATGACCGAAAAGACAAGTGTGAGGTTGGTTGTTTCGTTATAAACGAATACGGAATAACAAAACCGTTTGTTATTATTCACGATTTTAAAGATGCACTATGTAAGATTTAGATAAAGAGTTGGTCGAGTTTGCTATAATAGTTCCAAAAAAGACAATTCAAAACTAATATATTGAAAATTCCATTAAAATTACTTTATTCTGAGCGACGTTATCAGTGTTTGAACGTTTGACATAGATTGTTTATTATCGTAGCAACGTTACTGGTTAATCCAGACTCAATCTCGCCTCTAGGGAGAGGGGTTTTACATAGAATATGCCTGTTCCCCAATCCCATTCACACATCCTGAATAAAATATTGTTTATAAAAAAAACAAAAAAAAAACTCGCCTCTCCATTTGTTAATTAAATCATTAAATGGCGATCGTATTTTAATCCGTTTACAACTGCGCTGTCTGATGCTCTAGAGATTTGATTGTAAGCTTATCGTATGAATGGATGTCTAAATAATAATTTATATAAAATTTAAAGCCAAAATAAAAATCTGTAATAGGCAGATTTAGAGCTTACACAATGTATCTTTAAGTTTATAATGGTAAGCCTTGTAAACTACTATTGTTCTTTCCATCCAAGTGAGAAAAAGGAGAAGCTTTCTCGCCGAACAAAAAGTTTGACCCGTTGTACAGTAATGCTGAATGGCGGAAAAATAGTCAGGTCAACAGACAAAATGGAGTTCGTTTTTGGGTCCCCTGTTGATCAACATCTATACAAATAGGGAATAAGGGGTCAAGATCATTTCTATACTGCATATAAGTATACTGCTGCAGAATCGTCCATAGTTTTATTAAATGGATCGATTTAAATACATTTAAGACCAATATTTATTTTGGTAAAACTGCCGTTGATTGTGCTTTACTTTGCAATGCTATGATCTGTTAGGCTATAAAATACAAATACTAACATGTTTAAAGAGAGCTGGCTCTGGTGTTGGTTCATATTTATGCTGTCTTCCTTCCAAACAGGTATTAGCCAATTCGTCCAATGTCGTCCTGTTTCGGACTAAACCCATTACTACTGACGCCAAGCACAATACATACAATTTATACATGTGGTTTTTCTTTTCTTAAATAAGGCAACAAATCTGAAGAATAAAAAACACAATTGGAGATTTAAGGACTAATCTACTACATATTCTTGTCATAATGAGAATATAGGGAGCCGCGATAGCTCGGTGAATATTAAAGACGGTGGCTTGCTATCCAGGGTGTCTCGGGGTAGGGATTTTCCTGCGAGGTTTCCCCTTGTCTGGGGTGCATGACGAAGAGCCTGACTAGAACAGTGCCTAGTCATTCGAATGGTGCGACAAATCAAGGTCCTGTGTACACCAAATTGACAGTTGAAATTCGAAAAAAGAATAGGCCGTAGCGCCGCTCTTTGGACAAAATTTCCTTCACTGCATACTGTATGGCGTAAGACCGTCTTCATTAGCCGAGTCGGTCCAGAAAATAAAATGCTTCGTGTAAACTTACATTATGTCAACATTTCATTTTATCTCACATGAATTTTAGCTTATAGCTCTCATATGTCTGTTCAAAACCACTGACAGGCACACATATTACAACCGTGTCTATTTTCTTAATCGGTATGTTTATAAACCGTCTCATCGAGCTGATAGCAGTAGCTTACATAGCAGTAAACTAGTGAACCGTTAATGTTTTGTTTGCGTTTCTACAAACTATTAGATTTAGTTGTAAATGGTAATGTTTATAAATCCTTAAAATATAATAGTAAATTGTAATTTTTATAAATGTTTAAAAAATTTGTTTTATAATAACCAGCTACAAGTCAAAGTTGGAAATACACTAAGTGAAGTAGGCGTCATGCAAGGAAATAACCTCAGTCCTTTATTATTCAACATTTTTATTGACAAGCCCCCGTATATTTTAAATCATTCTATTGATGTCCCTAATTAAATGTTACTACTTATATACTGATGATATTATTTTGTTTTTGTTGTCAAGTAGTGGTTTACAAACCTCATTAAATATAGTTGATAAATATTGCAAGCAATGAAGACTTGAAATTAACATTAAAAAAACACAGGTAACCATTTTTAATAAATCAGGAAAAAAACTTTTTGACAAATTCAATATTAATGGAAACTGTCTAGAAATTGTTCAAGAATACAAATACATAGGTGTAATTGAACGATGTTGCATTGAAAGCATTTTTCAAAAGTTTAAAAGCCTTTTTAAATTTTGATGTATCTTTGAACATTAAATTCAAACTATTTGATATCCTAGTCGAAGCCATACTATTATATGGATGCGATTCCTGGGGCCATCATATTACATCCAACAATACAAACTGTTACAAGCTTGAAAAGCTGGAGTTAAATCTTTGTAAACACTTTTTGCATATTCATAATAAAACTTCAGACTCTGTTGTATTAGCTGAAGTTGGTCGGTTCACGATTCTTCTTGATGTTAAATACAGGCTGGCCAAGACATGGGTCGAATCAAAATCAATACAGACGCTTTTCTACAGATTTTCGAACAAAGATAGAGGGATATTTATGTTCAATCTTGGAAATATATTGAAAAAGGTCGAACTGTTAAAAACTTACATAATTGCCTTAAGACTCTTATAAAATTAAGACAAATTATGATATTGAGAAATACCTGGATCTACCAGATAAACAAAAGCGCCAGGCACTGAGCCAATTTATACTCAGTGCACATAAGCTTGAAATAGAGACAGGAAGGCATAAAAAACCTTTTGTCCACAGGGATAAGTGGACCTGTAAAAATAGTACGAGCGGAGAAGTAGAAGATGAAACGCACGTTCTTCTCCATTGCTCAGCCCACAATAATCTTTGGAAAAAGTTTATAAGTCATCACATTAAAACTAGTTTGAATGATTCAATAATACATATAATGAACGCTGATAAATGTATTCAAGATGTTGCAACGTTCGCATATGAAATGTTTAAAAATAGACATTAAATACCATTTGCTATGTAAGGCCTAATATAGGCATTACAAACATTATTAAAGATACATTATGAGAGATTAGATAAGGAGCTGACAATTCTCACTATAATAGTTAAAATCTAGATAATGTAATGGGAATTTGCTGAAAATTTCAGTCAAATTGATCTACTCGGAACCGAGAATTGATTGAATTTTGGGCCTAGTCTAGGTCATTATTACTAAAGTCGGTGCGATAAAAAAAAAAAAAGTTTCGATTATCCATTTTTTGATTTAATCATCAATGAGCATTGGGCAGCAGGTCGGGTTCTAATCCAGTAAATATCGCAGGCTAGCGATGGCATCGAGAGTTGATTATGGTCTGGATAAGTTAATTAAGTTAATTAATCGCTGTCGTGAGAAGAGAGGGCGGGACATTATGAAACAAATGCTAAATTGGGTCTTAAATCAAAATAAATTACAAAACAAATTATTCCGTCGTCAATAGTTTTATTTAATTAGGGGGATTAAGGAATCAGTTAGGCGTTAATGAATACAGACGCCAGCTGTATATAGGTAATTAAGGAATAAACATTCCGAATATGGCGTCTGAGGGGATTAAGAGTGTTTTCGATAATTGGCAAAGTCGTTTTTACGGGAGGTCTCTTTTTGAGACTTTGAGTGAAGATAGCCCAATTAATTTTAATCAGATTGGTGTAAACTTGCCGTAAAGTGGATATAGTAACCATTGGCTATACGTACCCAAAAGTAATGTCGTCCATCTTATGTGCCCTTTAAGAGTGTTTTCAATAATTGGCAAAGTCGCTTTTACGGGAGGTGTCCTTTTGGACTTTGAGAGAAGACAGGCGAATTAATTTTAATCAGATTGGTGTAAACTATAGTAACCATTGGCTATACGTATCAAACAGTAATGTCGTCCATCTTATGTGCACTTTAATTAATGTCTAATTAATAATTTAGATAACATTTCAGGCCCAAGAAAGGCACGCAATTGGCAGATTTAGCTCTTGCATAATATATGTTTAATATAATTTAATATGCTTTTAGAAACCTCGGTAAACCTTATTTTATGTTCTTTGATGTTTATTATTGTATTGTAATTTGTATTGTATGCTTTACCATACTCGTGTATATACCATGCCGTTGTGTAATAAAGCATTATTATTATCAGTATTAAAACAATAGCTATGGAAGACCATTAGGGTCAGTCAGATGATAATTTTAAGGTCGCCATGCTCCATATAAAATTGCATCGAAAGATTTTTACAGAAACGAAAATCTACCTGGTAATACTTGTCACGGGTCACATGTATGTATAAAACTGTTCCGCACTGATACGAATGACTTTTTTGTTATGGATCAGGTAGCACTATATATCTATTCACGTAACAATATGGTCCCTTACATTTATATACAACGATATCATACTAGGTGGAAACACACGTAAACCCCAAATGTTGTAGTAGGAATAGTAATCCCGTATATTCTTTGAAACAAATGTCCACGGAATAAATAGTGATTTACTCGAAAGATCAGCGACAACGAAACAGCTTTGAACAATTAAAAGCGTAACTTTTCTCAGAAAATACGAAATTAATGAATGCCGCCAGTCACCTGAATAACAAAAACGACTTGAGTCACTGCTCCTAATCAACCGTCCAATCACGATTTGGGGCAATCTGACCCACTCCTCTTGCAGTGCCACGGCCAATTCTTACAGTGTTGTCGGTTGACGTTGCCGTCGACGAACACGTCTCCCGATCAAATTAAACGTAACACAATAAAGCAAAGATACGCTAAACAGTAAATCTTATGCAAGAACCGATAGGAAAGCAAATGTGGATAGATAAACCAGCACGCGGCAGTTTTCATCAACCCTTCCTTGAAGTGTCAATTTTGACAATGAACCCCTCCCACGTGTATGGCGCTATTGCGTGTCGCATGTGCAGCTCAGTAGTTCTGTTGGGGCGACAAGTTCTTCATCTGTGAACATACTCTCAAAGCATGTCAAGTGTCCATGACTATTTATCATGTCACAACCTGCATATCCCCTACTTTTTTGACGAGTATATTTCCATGACTTTCCATTGATCTCATCATATAAGTAATATAACATCATTTTTTCTGTTGTAAGTGCAAATGGATCGCACTACACACAAACACAAACCACTAGGCAAACCTGCGAATAATGGGACATACAAACTAGCCTACACCGACATAGCAAGCAATAAACAACAAAGTGACTGTATATGTAACCTGTATTATCTGTAATATAAATGGGGTTTAACACTCAAATTGTATATTTAAATAAACTAAAATTAATGACATTCGTATTTATTTTAATAAATACGAATGTCAATAATTTTAGTTTATTTAAATGTCTAATTGTCAAAAAAAATTAAATCTTTGGCAATATGGGAGTATGAGAGTCCGCTCATGTTCAGCATGATATTACACAATGCCATGGTTATGAATTCGTGTATACCCAATTTGGTTTCAAATTGTTGAACCACATTTTTTGAGGCGAAAAATAATTCATCCAGGAGCTTAAAGATGGGTTCCCAGAAAAGTATTTATCGGGTGGTTATTTCCAATAAAAGTATGGTAATTTTGGTATATATGGAAAGTAGAGATATCCAATCTTACTAGAAAAATACTGGATTCCCCGAAAAACACTCACAGAGCGTATACAGGACAAAAATGTTAGGGTTCCCCTAATCAACAGCCCGACGATTAGGAATTTCTGCACGCGTGATGTCAAAGGTCACAGGCGAACATTGAGCGCTTGATGTACAAGTTGATAAACTTTATGAAGAGTTAGACGTACAACACTTTCTGAGATAAAAATGACGGAAAAAGACACGGGTAGTGGATAATCCGAGAATTTAATTTGGATTCGACTAAACAACGTATTCTAAATCCATGAAATAAATCTCTCCTACATTTTAAAGAAGGGTTCATAGGTCAATTGAAATGAATTATATGTCTTTAAACACCTTACGTGTCGATTCGAGGGCCCTTTCTAATTGAGTGATAGTGTTGAAACTTCAATACCTTAATACAGTTCGATGTTGAGCATTTTCTGCTTGGGTAAAGTAGAGACTTCAATCTAACTGGTCGAGACTTTTGAACGCAATAACTCTCCTTCTGATTGGGGTGGGATGTTTAAAATTGGTGTAGGTGTCTATTTGGTCAATGCCTTGACAGAGTTGGATCATTTGCATTTTCCACGAAGGCTAAGCAGAGATAAGCAATTTGATTGGTTGAGACTTTGGAACACGATAACTTTGGTTCTAATTTGGCGAGATCACGAAACTCCGAGTATAGATTCATTACATCAATAGCTTGACAAAGTTCGATGATGAGAATTTTCTGCTTAGACTAAGTAAGTAACGATAACCAATTTGATTGGCCAAGACTTTGTTTATTAGGTGAATGTCTTGACTGAGTTCAATGATTAATATTTCCCGTTAAAGCTAAGCAGAGCTAAGCAATTGGTCGATGCTTTGGGACAAGATAACAAATAAACATTGATTTTAACTATTGGAGAGTGGTGGAACTTAGTGCACAGTTTCACTACCAAATCAGGTACTTCAAACCCTGACTAAGTTTGATCGTGAACAATTTATGCTTAGATTAAGCACAGATAATCAGTTTGATTGCTTGATACTTTTGAAA